GGTGCCCATCGGATAAGTTATAGTAGTGTAAGTTATAATTGTTGGGTTAGAGGGCTTCGGCCCTCTATAATTTCTACCGTGGAGAGATGCATGCTAAGATTTAGCTAAGGAAGGGAAAAAAAAAAAAAAATTACAAAATCAAAGCGAGTTAGAAGCTTGATACAAGAGGGTTGGCAGTTTGATGGTCCGGCGAAGCCACAGTACAGTATAAATAGAGATACAAGAGAGCATTCCTCGACAAATCAGGTAACAAGGTCCTAACCATATAATTTTTTTTTTTCAGGCAAACAAAAAATTAACTCACTTGGTGTCGACGATGAAGGTAAATAAACCGAGAATCGCCTGTGAATCCGAGAGTACAGAGAGCAGCGGCGAAGCTTGGTTCGCCGGAAAATGCAGAGGTCACAAAGGGGGAGTTTATCTTCAGATCTGCATACACAGTGGAACACCGAGAACAAGGATCTTCATTATATATGTGACTACATTTAGACAGAACAGAATAACTCCATTTATGAAGAAGATGCATGTTTGGAACTCACCGGTGAGAAGAAGACGTTGCCGAGAAGCTTCGTATTTACATCAGTGGTGTCGATTTCAACCCTAGATCTCGGAAAGCTTCAGACACAAAAGGGTACACTGTGAATCGCCTCAGTCATGTAGAGAGAACCCTAGAACAAGATGGACCGATTCCTTGTATTTGTGTTCTGTGGATTCCTTGTATTTGGGCTGTTGTTCTCCATTCTACAGTGAATAGTGGGCCGGCTGAAATTTGGGAACACTTTGGAACATGATTTTTTTGTTCCGGAAATTGGCCCAAAAATTGAAATTGTTCTACCACTGTTGGACACAGTACAGCCCATACCAAACAAGTTGGTGTCCTCAATAGTGCCCATTTGCACTGTAGGGAAGGGCATAGAACAAGATGGAGCATCCCCCAAACAGGCCCTTAAGTTATGTTTAACTTTTAAATAAATTTTATTAAGTTATGTTCAACTTTTAAATATATTTTATTATTTTTCCTTTTATGTCAAAAACACACACACATCAAGACATACAACGCTGAGCCCACTTCTAGATCAAGTCCTATATTGTTATATACATGTGTATATATATATTGATGAGACTGGGTCCACTTCCCAGCTTAACCCCAACACTTCCTAGTGCAGCCAAACGAGAAAACCTATATTTTAAAGCAATCTCCAGGTCTCCAACCTAGAATAAAATATGATACGTCAGACACCTGTCGGTCACATTATCGCATCCTTATTATCAGGTCTCAGTGATACCCGGTCACTTCAACCGGTAAATAAAGAGGAAATTTACTAAAAAAAATATCACAAATAAATTCATTAAATTCATCGGGTGGTCCAACAACACTATCATTAAGAAAGAATGAAAAAAATATATATGTATATTTTTTATTTCAATCATGATATTTTTAACTATTTATTTTGTTTTTAAAATTCTTAGATTGAATTAAATTGAATTGAATTGATAAATTAGTAAGATCTATGATTGAAATAATGAAATTTATTTTCATAAATTACTTTTTAGTGGATGATATAAATATTAAGGTTATCATAATAAATTAAGTTAAACTGCTAAAGTAGATGAATAGTTAACAACTATCAGACCACTAGGTGAGGTCCCGTATTCAAACCGATTCGTAAATTTAAGTTATGTTGAACTTTTAAATAAATTTTATTGTATTTTCCTTTCATATCTAATTAAGAGAAGGAAAAAAAAATTGTTACCCAACCAATAAAGAAAAAAATTAATAGAGATAGAATGTCGTGTAAAATTAAATGTTCTCCTTAATTTTTTTATTATTATATTTTTTTCCCTTCATATAAATGCTCTTAAGTTCCTAATTTCTTAACGCAATTTTCTACATCACACAATTCAAGAAAAAAGAGCACACACCTAGGGATTACAAAATACCCTGCTCGGGTACCTCCCCCAACCTGACCAAATGAAGTAATCAGAAAAATGAGATTATTTCTTAAAAAATTATCCTATCATTATTTTATTTTCTCTCTCAATAATCTCACACCTTTTGAACTTTTAATTTTAAATATACTTGTGTTTTTTATCCGCAGGCTCCGCACAATTAAACTAAAAACATTAATAATGTTTTATAATTCTTTAAGCTTATTAAAAGTTGTAAATTTTGTTATTAAAATAAAATTTATTAGTATTGTATTAATATAATTAAGTATGAGGAGACTTAATTTAACTATTTTGCTTTGGGCTTCCTGTGACAAAGGGGGCTTGTCTTACGTTAGATTCGGATGGGAGAGTGATTGGGTATATCTGAGTTAGGTGTTAGCCCCACTTAATAACTTAGGTTTTTGGGTCGGATCGCAAAGCACCCACTTGTTATAGTTGGTAACAGTCCTTGAACTGTTGGTGGGCCAACTGGAACGAGAGCTTTGCGAGTTCGGATAGAAGAAAATGTAACAAAGAGGAGTTTATCCCACATCGGATCCGAATGAAAGAGTAATTGGGTATATATATGGATAGAGTCTGGAAATGAATTTCTCTCAAGAGAACCATGAACCCACAGAGAACCCAAAACCAACCACTTCGCCGGCCACTCAATCACCTTAAACCTCCATTTCTTCCGTCTCAAATCACAGAAACACAGCATTACACATCCCCTTCTAAACCAGTTCACAAACCATTTAACTTGATTTCTAAGTCAGTGAATGCCACATCCCATTTACCCCACAGAAAAATTACCACACCTCTCGAACCAACAGCACCACCCAAACCCTCTTTGCCCCCAGGAAAGTTACTCATATTGACCTGCATGATCATCTTCACCCACGCCCACCGTCAGTAATAGGAACTATTAAGGAAAATGTGAGGCTTGCACTACAGAATGATAGGATTTTGAACCCCTCTGGACTTGAAGTCAACGACGTCGTTTCTCTACCGGATGGAATTGACGCGGCTGTCATGGATGCTTCAAAGTTTCAGCTCATTGGGGAAATTGCAAAGCTAAGGTCTATTTTGCAGGAGAATGAGCTGGAAATTGAGAAGTTACAGGGTATGTTTAAGGAGCAGGTGGCTGTATCGACGAAGGGCCCTTCTAATGTCGGGAAAGCTCCTCCACAACCAAACTCACCTGCAACGGCAACGACAGATGGCATCTCCGGCCAAAGGGAGGTTCACAGGATCGAGATTGATGACCTCAGCCCAACGTTAGCTGAACAGGACCTGCTTTTGAATTCAAATTCGTGTGGGAAGAGGACTGTTACAGACAAAGGAGAAGTCAACTCTTTCACAGTCAGACCACATGCAGTACTGCAAACACCACCAACTCTTCACCCTACCCCAAACCTTAGCATGTCAAGTCATACATCAACTGGATCATTCTCTTTCCAACACAACTACCTTAGTTCTAAACCAACTAGCATTAAAAACTATAACTCGTCAGCTCAACCAAATACCTTACAGTACGCTCCTCTTACCAACTTTACTTTTCTAAACCATAACCAAAAGGAAGCTTCGGAAATTCCCCAAACCATTGGCACAAGCTTCCTAGAAATTGCTCTCCAAGCCCCTACTTGGGCCTCAGTTGCTCAATCTAATGTTTCATCTCGGGACCTCTAATACCATGAACCTTCATTGAAAGATGACTCTGTTCTTGTGGATCCGCCTGAAGAGGTCTTACTGGATAGTGTTCAATATTGGCAATGTTGTATGTTAGGATCTTTCCAAAGAAGAATGCCGTATAAGGTGGTCTCTAGCGCTGCGCACAAGCTTTGGGATTGTAAGGGCCTCAAGCAGGTTGTGGCAAACTCAAAAGGTACTTTCTTCTTCACCTTTGATTGTCTTGATAGTTGTAAGGAAATTCTTGCTGGTGGACAGTGGTATTTAGCGGGCAAACCTGTATCCCTTAGACTTTGGAAGCAAGAAGATCATAACCTCACCACCTCACCCGCTACAATGGCAATTTGGATCAAACTCTTTAATGTACCATTCGAGTACTGGTCACCAAAGGGACTCAGCTATGTGGGGAGTGCTATAGGGTAGCCTCTCTTTGCTAATGGGAGCACTAGGGAAAGGAGTAGACTCGATTTTGTCAAACTTTGTGTGGAAATCTCTCCTTCATCCACTCTTCCTTCATCATTCCAAGTTAGATTGGGTAATGGATTTGAAACTATAAGAGTGCAGTACCCTTGGATCCCCCTAAGATGCTGTAACTGCAAGTCATTTGGACACACTATTGAAACCTGTGTAGCAGGTTAAAAGAGTAGTGTAAGCCCTCAGGATGCAGCCCCTGAAACTAACTCTTGGCAAATTGTCACAAGAAGCAAGGGAAGATCACAATGCCATCCTATCCCTAATCCATTACTAAACAGTAACCCCCAACAGCTTCTGGAACCTGCTTCCACATCTGTTATTGATAGAGGGATTAACAGGTCAGGCACACCTTCTGCTACCAATCCAGAGCAAGCTTTACCCCCAGTGCCAGAGCTAATTCACAATTTGCAGGAACTCCCAATCCAATTGAATGTAGTTGAAATACCAATCCCCACCTCTCATAATCAAAGGGCTATAAACCTTGTGATTGACCTTTCCCCCTCTAATCTTAAAGTAGCAAGAAGGAAGCCAACTAACAATGCACCAATTGAAACCTCAAATCCCTTTGATGTACTTTCTGTTGAGAACCTTCAGGAATGCAATGATGTCTCAGTGGACTTAGCCTCATCTTCAGATGGTGATACTCTCTCAAGCAACAATGATCTTGCATACTCACCTGCAGTAGAGAGACTGCTGAAACCAAGGAAACCTGTTCATACAAAGCCCGTTAAAATTGATAAGAGAGCAAGATTGGCAAAAGGTTTGACTACCCTAAAGGGGTTTAGAGGGATGTGTAACCTCAAGTCATCTTCCCAATGATTTGGGGAGCTTGGAATATTAGAGGGCTTAACTCTCCCCTCAAACAAGAAGAGATTAGATTCCTCATTAGGAACAAAGGTTTGAGTCTCATGGCAGTTTTTGAAACTAAAGTTAGCAGGGACAATGTTGCTGCAGTTCACAGATCTATAGCTCCTCATTGGCAAATTAGATGCAACCATGAGTTTTCAATACTGGGAAGAGTTTGGTTATTGTGGGACACACATAAAATTGACATTTTGGCAGTCTCTAAATGCAGTCAGGCGATTGATTGTGCTGTTTTCCTCAAGGACCTTAAGATAAAGTGTAGGCCATCCTTTATCTATGCTGCAAATACTGCAATTGATAGAAGAGCACTGTGGAGTTTCCTCAACCTGCAATCCTCCACAAATGAGCCTTGGATATTACTTGGGGACTTTAATGTACTACTTCATGTTAATGACTTTTATGGGGGAGCCCTGAGGTGGACAACTGGTATGGCGGACTTCAAAGACTTTCTTCATGCTAATAGTCTTGAGGACCTGAGATACAATGGGATTTTCCACACATGGTCCAATGGCAGCTTTGGGTATGCAAATATCTCTAGAAAGCTGGATAGGGTGCTGATCAACCAACCATGGATGGCCAAGTTCCCACAAGCTGAATGTCAGTTCCTTCCCCATGGTTTCTCAGACCACTCCCCTATGGTGGTACATTTTGGCACAGTCTCACCCAAAAGAAACCTTCCCTTCAAATTTTTTAACTTTTGGATACTTAACCCTAACTTCCTTCCCACTGTCTATCAAACTTGGTAAATGGATGTTGAAGGTTCAAGTATGTTCAGGCTTGTGCAGAAGTTGAGAGCACTCAAGCAACCACTTAAGCTGTTAAATAAGAAGGAGTTCAGTGCTATTTCAAAAAGGGCTGCAGCTTGCAGAGATGAATTGTATTCTTGTCAGATGAGGATTGATGTTAATCCATCAGATGATTCCCTTAGAGCCAATGAGAAGGAACTTTCACAGAAACTCTTTGATCTTCTTTTGGCTGTAGAAATGTTCTTTAAACAAAAAGCACAGGTACATTAGCTTAAAGAAGGTGATCAAAACACTACCTTCTTCATGAAGAGTTTTAGCTCCAAGGCCAATAGAAGGAAGATTCAATCATTTTTTGACTCAAATGGTAACTTGATTCAAGGGCAGGAGCTGCAGAGGAACCTTCTTAATCACTTCATTTCCATATTCAGCCAATGTAGCAACAGCTATCCAGGTATGAGTTCTTTTGAGCTAGTAATAACTAAGTCTGTCCCTCCCCAACTTTTACCAGCTCTCACAACTATACCCACAGACCAAAAAATCTAATCCTACATTCTATCATTCCACCCTTATAAGAGTCTAGGACCAGATGGATTCAATTCTTGTTTTTTCAAAAATGCTTGGCCAATAGTTGGTCAGGATGTCACTGCTGCAGTTAGAGACTTCTTCATCTCAGGGAGAATGTTGACAGAGATTAACTATTCCTATATAGCACTGGTGCCAAAATCTCCTAACCCTTCATCAGTGAATGATTTTAGGCCCATCTCATGCTGCAACCTCATTTACAAGACTATTTCCAAACTGTTATCAATTAAGCTTGCACCTATCCTTCCCCTTCTTATTAGCAATACCCAAAATGCTTTCATTAAGGGAAGACACATCTCAGATAACATTATACTTGCTCATGAACTGATGAATGGCTATCACAGAGCTAACCACCCTCCCAACTGTGCACTCAAAATTGACCTAAGAAAGGCTTTTGATACACTACACTGGCAGTTCATTTTGGATGCTTTGCATTTGTTTGGATTCCCTCCTACTTTCATACATTGGATTGGACAATGCATAACCACAACATCATTTTCCATTTCTCTCAATGGAGAGTTTTTTGGTTTCTTTAAAAGGAAGAGAGGTATTAAGCAAGGGGACCCCTTATCCCCTATGTTGTTTGTCATTGCAATGGAGGTCATGACCTTATGTGTTAACAAACATATTGAGTCAAATACAAGGTTCAGGTATCATTGGAGATGCAAGAAGCTGTTAATTTCACACCTTATTTTTACCGATGATATTTTGATGTTCTCCCATGCCAACACAGCCTCAGTTCAGACTCTAATGGATGCCCTTAATCAGTTTTGCAACATCTCTGGAATGCAACTTAACAGAGCAAAGTCCAAGGTTTTCTTCTGTGGTGTTGACAATACATTGAAGGCTGAAATCCTACAACTTCTACATTTTGAAGCTGGTTCACTGCCGGTTATATACCTAGGGTTACCACTATCTTCTTCCTCAATCAAAGCAAGGGACTGTCAAACCCTTGTGGAGAAGATTACTGCAAGGATAGGGAACTGGACCTCTAGATTTCTGTCCTATGCTGGTAGAGCTGTCCTTGTCAAGGCTGTGTTTTATTCAATTCAAGCTTATTGGTCCCAAGCCTTTGTTCTACCAAAGATGGTCATAGAGTAGATCAACCAAATTCTCAGAAGATTCTTCTGGACTGGGGTGGATATGAAAAATAAAAGAGCTAAGGTAGCATGGCAAGCTATCTGCAAGCCTAAAGCTAATGGTGGTCTTGGATTTCCTGACTTGGAATTAGCCAACAGGGTAGCCAATCTGAAACACATTTAGAATATTTGTTCGAAGAAAGACAGTTTGTGGGTGAAGTGGACACTTAGCTACCTCATTAAAACAAAGAATTTCTGGTCAGTGAAAACTAATGGTCTGAGCTCAGGCTTTTGGAGGAAGCTTCTTGGGTTAAGATCCATGGCAAGATGGCTGATAAGGCACAGGGTTGGGGCTGGTAAGGATACTAGCTTATGGTTAGATTACTGGCTACCTAATGGGGCAATTGTGCAGCAATTGAGTCTCATTGGTGTGGAAATTCTTCAACTAGATAACAATATTCTAGTTGATAGCCTAATTTCCAACCACCAATGGGTCCATCCAAACTCAATTCAGCTGCACAATTTTTTCTAATCAAGAAGCTTCATTTCACAGTTACATGAATTACCCCAGCCCTTTGCTGATCCAGATTGCATTGAATGGTTATCAAGCTCTACTAAGGTCTTTATAATGGCACATACCCTTGCTTACTTCAGCCCCCCATCCCCAATCTTTCCTTGGTGTAAAGTGGTTTGGTTTAAACACCACATTCCCAAACACAGCCTTATCCTTTGGCTAGCTGCTAGAGGGAGATTATATACACTTGCTGCAAAACCTATGCTTTACAAGCACATCACAAACAGATGTTATCTCTGTCATACAGCATGGGAATCCATTGATCACCTCTTCTTCAAATGTGACTACACTTCACACATTTGGAAGTTTATCCAAGATACTGCTGGATTTTACATTTTGCCAAACAGTTGGGCTGACTTACTGCTTTGGTGCTCAATACACTGGGCTTTAACACAATTCTTGCTTCATAAGCTTCTTTGGGCTGCTGCAGTCTACTTCATTTGGATGGAGCGAAATGCTAGAGCTTTGAGGAATCAATCCTCCACTGCCCACAACATCATTGCCCAGATTAAGACGTGTGTAAGAAGCAGACTTGCATCACTCAAGCTCAGGAATAGTTCAGAATTGAAGCTGATCTCTTCTCCCTCACAGCTACAAACACTCTTCCAGCAGGGTTGCTCCACATCTAGTGGACATCTCTGGCCCTTATCCTAAGCAATGGTGATGATTGTTCATGGTTAATGCTACCATGGTTGAAGGCTAGAGAGGGTGCCTTATATTTTGGCTGATATTGTCTTTGATGTTATGCTTTTGTTTTCCTTTGTAGTTGCAATAGGAGATGTTGTTCCTAGAGTTGTTCTTGGAGTTGCTGTTCCTTTTTGTTTTCCCCCCTTCGGGGTTTGTTTGTACATTCCTCTTTTAATTATTTATACAAGCTTGCCTTTTAACCAAAAAAAAAAGTCTGGAAATGATATTCTTTTTGGTCCCGACTTAGGAAATAGGGAGTATTTTATTTTTTGGATCCGACACAGCATAGACACAAGAATGATACATTATACTCTCAGAATGCAATGGGATAATTTTTTTTAAAAAAAATAGAATTTAATGCAATTTAAAATATATTATGAGTTAATTAAAAATAATAATATAAAATTTAAGAAAACAAATGGTATGAGGCCTATTTTTTAAAAAAAAAAAAATTATCTTATCTTTATCCATTACTTCATTTTTTCTCTTAATAATCTCACACTTTTTAAACTATTTCTAAATTTTAAATTCTCTTGTATATCAATACTTGTTTCAATTTATTGACATTTTTATATCCATTATTAAATCACTAATTCTTACACAAAAATCATAAATAGTGTTTTATATTTCTTTGAGATCATTGTAAGTTAAGCATAGAGAAAAAAATTTAAAATAAAAATCTATTACTTTTATATTAATATAATTAACGTGAGAAGGGCTCATTTAATAACTATTTTGCATTAAGTCTCGCAACTGAGTTGATTGGATTAAAAAAGTAACGGAAAAAGAAGAAGAAAAACACATGTATGGATAAGAATATAGATTTTTACTTATTTTTATTTTTATTTTTTTAGTTTTATGGCAAATTAGGGGGAGGGTTCTCAATTACGTTAGCCGATTGTTCCATTTTGCTGGCAACAGCTCAATACTTTCATAGGGAGTGAAGAATTGATTGGATTCAAATTCATTGATGAAGAAAGTAAAATGTTTAATTAGTGGGTTAAAGTGCTAATAAGAGTATTAATTAAGTTTTTTTTTTTTTTTTTTGGCTTCCAAATTATTTTGAGAAGAAACAAACATTAACAAAGAAAATAAATATATATCAATATACATTACAAACTTGGTGCAAAAAAAAAATAATAATAAATAAATAAAAAGTTTTTCATAATTTTTATGAATTTTGTTACTTTGTTGTTTGCAAAATTCTGCACCAAATTATTTTGAGAAGAAACAAACATTAACAAAGAAAATAAATATATATCAATATACATTACAAACTTGGTGCAAAAAAAAAATAATAATAAATAAATAAAAAGTTTTTCATAATTTTTATGAATTTTGTTACTTTGTTGCTTGCAAAATTCTGCACCATCTTGCCATAAGCAAGAACAAATGTGACAGGAGGTGCACTCATTCCCTTTTGGGTTAGGTGAAAACAAGAGTACAACCCGAGCCCAACCTAAATTTTCATGGGTTTAGACAAATAGGATTGGACATAACCTAAAAATAAAAATCTCAATCCAACAAAGTATTCTCCACTCGTGTTTGTTTGTTTTTTTCTCTCCAAATAAAATTACAAAAATATCCTAAACACACTGTTTTAGTTTTATATCGTTCTACTGTCATAATTGCCCTTTTTCCTTGTATTTTTCACTGCCCTATTTTCTTGTATCTTTCACCATCTCTCACTCACTATTCATAGTATAAGAAAGGGTATCTCTTTAATAGGTTGTGTTTTTAAGTTTTATTATTGGGTTTTTACTTTTGAGTGTTTTTACTTTTGAGGGAGAGGAACAAATGTGTTTGTACATGTATATTTGTGTGTGAATAGGATGTGTTTTTAAGTTGTATAGTGTTTACTTTTGAGGAGGGAGCCCTCTAAATTTGGGTAATTAAGAGATTCGGCTGAGAGAAAAAACAAAGGGATGTGATGAGTTTAGAAGGAAACATAATTTGATTTAGAAACGACATCATTTAGAAAAAGGGTTGTGATGGCCTTCTTTAATTACCAAAAAAAACTCTATTTCCTTTTACTAGCATTCACACGTGGGAGAATGTGAATTTCATTGATGTTTAAGGGCAATCAAGGTAAATTTATAAGAACAAAACATTGTGTAGTATAAAGAATTAATTGTAATTTATAGGAACAAAATATTATGTGGTATAAGGACTTAATTGTAATTTCATTTTTAAAAAAAAGCAGAGTGAAGCGCTAGAAACCCAAAATTTTAATATTATTATGTTTTTTATATTTTAAATGTATTACATATAATATTTAAATTATGATCACCTATTTTTCTCAAACTTTTTTTTTTATATATATTTTTAAAAGTTTGAAATAAATATTTAAAACGTTTATATTTTGTTTAGGAGTAATATAATCACAAAGTACTCCAATATACTCGAGAAATCTAAGCCGGATAGAATAGAAAGATGAATTGAGGAATTAAGAGCCTTGCTTTGCTAAGGCCAAAGAAAGATCGGTATATCGGTATATGTGTCTACAATAAAATACAGGTTTCAGACACGTGTGTCAATTGGACCATTATTTCTTGTTGGGCTTTGGTAAAATCAGCCCCATGGTATGGATAAATTATGCCCAATTCCACCATGTTAAAAATCTGTACAAATTAATTGTGGAATTTCACCAATAAATATATATATATATATACATAAATTGGTTTTCTGCATTCAACCCAAAATCAGTTTATATATGTACCTGAGACATTTATGAAAAACTAAATATTAAAAAATGACCTAATTAGACCAAGATCATAATCTTTTGCCTCTTGAATTGCTGTACAAAAACTGAACACACAAAAAAAAAAAGTTGCGCGGATCACATAAAACAAGTCACATTTGTTTGATCGCAAAAAGGGTGGAAATGGTAAAAATGTGGAAAAATTTGAATGCATAATCCTCGGGCAAATAAAAAGAGCGGACAATGCCAGAATCTCAGCTCCCATATTTTGGTTTTTTTTTGCAACGTACAGCGCTGTAAACACTACTACTGAATCAGTGCTTCAGAGACTCTAATTTGTCGCCTTTTTTCCCACTAACCAAACAACCATTCAATCAATCAATTTACACACAATTCACTAAAACCACACACACAATCACGCATATATATATATACATATGAATAAGGCTCAGAGAGCTGGGATTATTATTGACATCAAAAAGCTCAAAATCTTTCAAAGTTTGATGGTATAATTTTCCTCATCACTGCCTTTATACACCCACATAAATACAGACATATATATTCAGTCACATAAATAGCCAATCCAAAAAACACGCACTCCTAAATCTAATCAAACACAAACAACAAAAGACATGAGAAAAAAGAGTCCTCAGTAACACATCAATCAAAGATATCTTCTCTTCAAAAAGAACTCAGAGAAAGAGAGAGGTATTGTTATAAAAAAGAAAGAAAAGAGGCCTCAATCTAAGGGCAAAAGGAAAAGCCTCAGGGCTCACGTTCTGACGAGAGTACACCTCAGAACGTGAGCCCTGAGTAGTAAATATAGCGGCGGAGACCAGACGATGCGATGTGGAAACCCTAGTTTCTTATTTAAAATAACAATAAAGAAAAAGGAATGTGCGAAATTACGTAAATGTCATCCTTTACCAAATTAATACCGTTAAGGAAAGGAAGTGCTGATTTGTTTGAGTCGACTCTTTTTCAGGCTGAATCTGTATAAATTTCAGCAAACAACATTGAAAAACTGATGTACACCCAATAACCTCACAATTTCATTTTTGAATTCTACTGCCGACAGAGCATCAACTTCACTACCGTCACAGTACCAATCATTCATCTCTTCTTTAATGGGATCTTTTTCAGGCTGAATCTGTATAAATTCAATGTAAAAGTTGTATATATTGTTATATTCATAGCTGTTAATTTACTAGCCTAGTAGTAAATGGATAAAAACAAAGTCTTAATCTGTCTAGATTCTTCACAATTATAATCAATTATATTTCTAAGCACAATTAAAATTTTCCCACCTTCGCAATAAGTTTTCAACCTGATTCAAACAGTATTTGCAGTCACAGTGTTGCCATTTCTGATGCGAAAACAACGATTCCTTGCAAAATTTGTGCATTTGATTCATTTTATTGTGATTAAATCTGTTGTATCACATTGCATACTTGCTAATCTAGCACCAAAAAGGAGACGTGACTTTTTTTTTTATTGATCAAAAACCAAATCATATTTCCCTTTGGACTTCAGAGTCGGTGAAAACTCGAGATTTTATGAGTCTTTTTAAGCTTCTTAAAAGCTAGAAAATATAGATTTGAAAATTTAATTGAGTAATAGAACTTGAAAATGGTGTGGAATATGAAACTGGAAAAGATATGAAGCTGAACAAATTTTTTTTTCTATTCTCATGTAGCATTTAGTTTGCAGATTGCTTAACTTCTTGTCCCACATCGCTCAAAAGATGAAGTTTTTGCGAAGTAATAAAGGCTACTGAGAGGGTATCATAACGCTGAGCCTTGTAACGTGGGCTTGTAACTCGAGTGAGGGCATTAAGGTGATGGGAGGTTTGTTTGGCTCAGATGGTAGGGCTTGTTTGGGTTATTTCACTGGCCCGCCCGCTCCAAGTAAGGAGTTAGGCCACGGACTTTGGGCGAAGGCCTGGAGTTCTGGGCCTCTAGAGTCGGAGGGTACTGCGTGAGGCTGGCTTCACAGAGCAGCGTTGAACCTCCCGCTCCTGTCGGTGGAAGGATTACGGGCCGGTAATCCACAGGCCTCGTTAACGCCTGATGAGCCCTCCTAACCTGACCATCACCTTTTTATTTTTATTTCTGGCATGATTTTGTTTTTAACCATTTGTGAAGGGAAAAAACATATTCTTAATGGGCCGATCCTTTTTTTTTTTTTTTTTTTTTTTTTTTTTGGTCCTATACTAATTTGACCAATTTTATTGGCATTTGATCAGTTATTGTTATTATTATTATTATTATTATTATTTCAATTTTAGGTATGTTAAACTAAATCTTGTGAAATGGTGAAGGTGTACCACAATTTTATAAAATTGTGTTATTGTAATGGATACCTATAATTAATTGGCACACGTGAGCGATAAGTAATCAAAGGAAAAGATTGATTGTTTAGGCATTGACATCTCCAATGAATTGGCGTTAGAATAATTGATAAGTATCTTGTACTATCCATGTAATGTTTTAAAAATCTCAAATTTATTTCGACTTTTTTTATTTTTCCTCTACTTGAATTTGTTATGCAGGCTCAACATAATGGTGAAAGAAATTTAAACCAGTTTATGCATATGGTCTGAGAGAAATTGCAAACGGTAAAAGCTCCCGGACCTATATAGAGAGTACAAGTCATCTCTCTTTATGGACAAAAGTTATAAATTAAAGTTTTCTTTCCTCTAAGATTAATGCTCGGTTCCGTAGGAAAGAAAAAAATTAGATGGAATGGAGAGAATAAGAGATGGATGAGATATTCCTAGGGAAGAGATTGTGTCTTTTCTTCTTTTTGTTCGGTTAGATGGAAAAGAAGAGTATAAACTCACAATTTAATATGTTGAAGAAAAGAAAAAGTTTTAAATTGTTTGTACCATTATGTCTAGTAATATCTATAATATTGTAATTCATACAGTATAGTACTGTAATTTAAAACTTCTGTAATTTAGGATAATATTTAATTTAAAATTTCTATAATAATCTACTTTTCTTCCCTCTTCTTTTTTGCTTCCTTTCTTTCCTTGTGTTATCTCTACCAAATAAATGAAGTTTGTTCATTCCTTCCTTCCTATTTTATTTCTATACATCTTCCTTCCTTTTTATCGAACAAAGCATAAAAGATGTATCATGGTGATAAATGTTTTTTTCCTAGTGGATTAATTGTAAAACTCTCACATCATGAGGAATGTATGCCAATGACCTGAATACAATTGATGTGTAGGATGATTTAGCAAATGACCATATCATTTCATACTTTTAATCATGCATGAGAAAATTATACACTTACGTACGAGCATCATTAATTCAAATAACAAATGAAATTATTTTTAGCACCAATGCTTGCAATTCAATTAACCAATTAGAGCTAGAACTTGGACTTTCTATCTGTGAAATAAATTTCTATAATATCTAAAGTGCATTTGCCACGAAAAGATTCTTTGAAGTTATGTTGAATATGCATTTTTATCAAACACTTGGTGTGTAACTTGATCTTAGCAATGAAAGAAGCAAATATAGAAATTACTGTTCAAGCTAAAATCAACCACTCAACTGAATCCAAACAATCATTTCATCCTCCTTGTGCAATCAATTCAAACCAGAAGTGTGAGTGATAGATTTACAAAACATTGATAACAAGTCATCCTTTGGACCTTAATTAAGTGGCCAGATTATTATTTGATATGACATACCGATAAGATACTAAATACAAGTGTGAGTAGGTTGATTCACTGATGGACACAGAAAGCGAAGAGCGAAGTGCCTCCAGTAAAGGTTGGGTACGCCACTACTCCAAGGCTTACTTTATAACCATTCCCCACATAAATGCATCCCTGGCTCACTGACATGCCACCGTAAACGGTGGCTCCGGTGTCCTGTGACCATAGAATGTTCCCGGTTTTAGCATTCATGGCGTAGATGGGTCCTGTTGGATACGCGGATCCAGCAAATAGGACGCCATTAGCAACAGTGACCGGACCATTGGAACTGGCATTGCTAGGATTAGCGGTAGACCATAGGATTGTGCCAGTGTGAGCATCCATTGCCACCCATCCGCCTGCAGTTGTGGTTTTGTTCGATGGTTTGAGGGTGAAGTTTTTACTGTCACTGTTGGCAATGTTGGTGTAGATCCTCTTTGTGTCCGTGGCTGCTCCCCATGTACCTCCTCCAGAAGCCCCACCAGGTCCACTCTCCTGCATCACCAATGCATTCAAATTTGTATTAATGTGTTTTTTTTTTTTTTTTTTAAACACATCTAGCTTAAAAGGAGTTAAATCCAACAATTTTGAATATAAGAAAACACATTTTAAATTGTCCAGCATTTTTATAAAAAAAGAAAAAAGAAAAATAGACATTTTTAACACAAATGGTCACAAGTGAGGACACTTTTTAATATAGTCGGGGGCAGAGCCAGAAATTTGAGGTTGGGGGAGCGAGTTTGAACTATGTAATTAAAGTTAAAAAAAGTTTATACATCAACTGTAAAAATCTTAAATTTGAGCTTTTAAAAATATAGTTAAAAGAGTTGAAGTTGTAAATTTACTAAATTTCAAGGAGACAGAGACTAAAATTATTTTCAAATTCTCTATTTTGGGTCAATATACTAGTGTTTTGAAAAAATTTGGGAGACCAATTGAAATTTTTAATGAAGTTTAGGGGCAGTACCTACAAAGTAATTAATATTGAGAGGGTATAATGAAATTTTCAAGAAAGTTTGGGGGGCCATGGCCCCTGCTGGCCCACCCCTAGCTCCGCCCCTGAATATAGTACAAAGATATACAACAATATACTCCATATTAAGTAATTAGTAGCATTGATTATTCTTATTGTATCAATCTTCTATAAAGAAATATATGATACCGTTGGATAATATTAGGGAAAGAGAAAGACCAAAATTAACGTAGATAGAGTTAATTAGTAAAGAAATATATAATAGGGATGACTGAGTATATAGTATTAGATAGAGCCGAATGTAAACATAAGATTCAGGTAATTAACCGACTCCAAGCAATTAGGAAAAAGACTAACTTGTGTTGTTCTTCTTTAAACTGCACATCCTACTTGAAATTTTGTAAGATATATGGGTGTTCACATATTTGTATTATATTCTCTTTGTATTATTTAGTACTATAACACAAAAACATTGCCAATTAAACTTGGTTAAAAATCATATGAATTATAGGAGAATTTATTATATGGTCTGCATTTTACATGGTCACAGTCACTTACAAATTGTCACACAAGTAAATGTATCAGCTTTATTCAATTTTTTTTTTTACTTGCATGACAACTTGTGATTGAATGATCCAAGATCATGTAGTCTCAGACCATATAATAATTTCTCGAAGTATAGAACTATATAAATGAAGCCATCTTACCGTGGACCAGACAATGCTGCCATCATCGCGATCCAAAGCCCATGCAAATCCACTCTTCTGAATAGCTACCACAACATCTTGTTCGCTTCCATTGACATGAATGCTTAGCATCATCGGTGCCTCCCCAAAATCCGCATCCGGATTGGGGCCCGGCGGGCAATTAAGGGACGCCGAAAGGTTGCTGCAGGCCACGAACCACACATCATACCCTCCCAGCTGCCTATACCACTTGATCATTCCAGTGTCCAAATCCAATGCCACTATCGAATCAAAATGATTTTCGGGCTCAACACACTCATCTGGATGAGTAGGCAAAGTCTGGTTGTTCTCTCTTTCTTGACATTGTTGAACACGCAGAGGAGCCGAGTATAGGTTTCCTGTGGCAATGTAGACAAGGTTCCTTTTAATATCAATGGAAGGGCTGCTTCCCCATATTGCTGCTCCGGAGTACTCTCCGGTCAAGCCATGATTGTCAGGCACCATGAAGGTCTGCCACACGACGGCGCCTGTTCGGACGTCTAGTCTGGCAAGGCTGCCACGGAAGGTGCAACATTGCTCAATGCTGCTGACGACTTCTTCAAATGAAGATGTTCCAATATAGAAACCTCTGTAACAAGTTATGTAATTAAATAAATAAATTATCTCTAGTTTATTATATTTGTATCATATATATGATCTGATTGTGTACGTCCAAATGTAACAACTAACCAATTTTTTAATTAATCATATACTCCATAGTAATTAATAATTGATTTTTTTTTGGTTCTCAGGGAAACAAAAATTTGGTCAGACGTCCAAGATTTGGTTCAAGTTATATATTGTGCACGACTAGGACGAATTGAAAAAAAATAATAAATAAATAAAAACCTGAAATTAGGGCATGCTCCAAGTCTGTTTGACTTTTGATATAAGAAATTGGTGGCTAACTCTAAATTATTGAAATTATGAATATTTGTATGCTACTTAATAAATTAGATTTTTTTTTTTCTTCGTATGCTTGAAAAGTCAGATTTTTTATTTTTATTTTTTATAAGTTGAAGTGAGACTACGTATACAATTGATGTCTTTAATTTAGTTAATAATAGCTTATTTCACGGGTCAGATGCAAATTAACAAATAACAATACATTAACTAGCTCATGAAGAGTTGAATTTTGAATGATGCATGTATCAAACCGTAATAGCAAGTATAGCCCTCCTACCTTGTTATATAAGATGTCTAAGTCATTAACTCTCTTAATTCCGAATATGTAGATATATGGATGGTACAGAGAAACTAGTTTACTTCATCATGTACAAGTTAGAGTAGAATACGTTCTGAAACAAAGTCTTGAGAGTTCTGATTAAATTTATATCACGTTATGATAACATCATCTTCCATTCATATGCATTCAACTTTGGAGCTATATATTTATCATTATTCTATTCATTAACACATATTAAAATGGTGTTCTTAGAGATTTATTATCCAACAAATATCTTTTTCTTTTTTTTTTTTGGAATGTTAACATGCCTTTATCTTGTTCTGAATTAACACCATTGACCTAAACTTATATTGTGCCTAAAACAATCTTTTCACGTATTCAGAAAAAGAAACTTGGACCAAAAAATTTAATGAATAACAGTCGTTATAACATATAAGAAAAGTAATGGGAAAAAATGGTTATGCATGACTGACCCTTTATGAAATGTCCCGGACATGGTGATAAGACCAACCGGATGACTATCAAGCCTAGTGGACCAGACCAGCTCTCCGGTTGCTCGTTTAACAGCGATAACAACAGCAGGTCCATAGATTCCGATGATGAGCAGATCACCAGCTACAGTTGGAGTTGATCTCGACAGCGTTGCAGTAACATTTAGGATGAAAGTAGGTGGACTAAGACCAGTTAGGTTTTGCAGGTTTTGTTTCCAAACAAGAGAGCCATCAACAGCTTTGACCGCGTAGAGGAAACCATTCCAGCCTGGGAAATAAAGGGTCCCATTGAAAATTGCAGAAGTTGCACTGATGTCTTTGCCTGCATAGAATGTCCACTTGAGACGTAGCTTTGAGACAGTTGAAGGGCTGATCTTGGTTTCTCCATAGGCATATCTACGGTTGTATATGTCACCACCATGGTTTATCCAGTCTCCTGCAGCTGAATGTCTCTTTTCATGCCACTTAAAACCAACCACAACACTAGTTATTAGGTTATATATATGCATAGTGACATATGTGTGTGTGTGTGTGTGTGTGTGTGTGTGTGTGTGTAATTAAATTCTACAATGATTGGGAGAACAGAATCGGTGTCTAGGACATAGAATTGAAGAAAATTTAATTCAAAGTTTAAGCTGAATTTTCTTCATTTTCAATTCCAAAACCTAAAGTGAGAATAGTGAAGCTCTACCAAATTCTTCCCACTATCAACATTCAGAAACAACATAGACCAAATTCTCAACATTCAAGCAATGTAGAATAGAAGATTCAGAGAGTGTTGAAGCTCTGCCAGGCACTTTGCATCCATCCAACATTCAAAGCCCCAAATACGAAGAACAACAAGCACATCAAAGTTTCTTCCTCAATGATTTAATAAAACCGAATTCAACTATAAAGACTTGAAGAAGACTCAACAACCCGATTCAAGATCAAGTTCAAGCAACCCTCCAAACTTCAAAGGAGATCGAATCAGAGGATATAGTCTTTGTGCACAAGATATTCACAGAGGATTGTAGCCCTTTGATTTTACAAAAATAATAAAAATATTATTTGTTCCTTATTTTTCAGATACAAAATTTGTGTGTACAGGGAGAACAGAATCCGTTTCTTGGACAAAGAATTGAAGAAAATTTAATTCAAAGTTTAAGCTGAACTTTCACCAATTTTAATTACAAAACCTATATTCAATATTCCCAAACATAATATATGTGTAATTGAGAGAGAGGTCGACTTACATCTGTACCAGAGCTAGCAGTGATGATAAGTAGCCAAAAGATGCAAACAAAATGGACAGAAACAATATTCTTGTTGGCTTGCGCTAATACCATGGAGGTAGAAGTCTGGATTAATGTTGAGATTGAAGTAGACTTTTGGCATTTTCCAATATATATATATGTGTGTGTGTGTGTGTGTGTGTGTGTGTGTGTGTGTGTATTGGAAAATGCCAAAAGTGTATATATATATAGTGAGTGGGAATGGAGACTGGGTTGGGCTAGCCTTGCAAGAAAAGTACCCTATCCCAGTTAGACCTTAAGGTATTAAAGTTCAGTGCTTAGACTGGAGCTCCGCTTGTGGGGGACTTTGTAGACTGTGCCGCCGTTGCCGTAACCGAGGACTTGGACCTTTTCGATGTTCGCGGCGGTTACTGCGCCGCCGCAACCGGTTGCGGCCGTAGTGGTGGTGGAGAGGGAAGTGGGAGGGAGGGGTAAGGGGAAACGAGGGCGGCGTTCGGAGATTTCCGGTAGGGGAAGTCGGAGATTTAGCTGGCGGCGCTCTCGGACTAGTGCCATGTACTGATGGAAGTTAAGATCGATAAGGGAAGGGAGGGGAGAGGAATTGTGGTGTTTGGATACTGTTTTGGGAGGAGATGAATTTCTTCGAATTGAGGAAAGTGAGTAAGTGGGAACGAGGAAGCACGTGAATAAGTGGAAGAGAGAGAAGGAAAGAGGAAGGATAGTGGGTGCCACTTGTGTATTACTACGTATTTTGGGTTTTCCTGAATTTTAAAAGTAAAAATGGACAGATCTTCATTTCGCTTAAATTAAGGAATTTTTTTGTTTTTCTTTTACAAAATGTTTTAACTTTTAATCTAAGAACCACATATACGGACATTATATATGGATACAAAAAAAAAAAAAAAAAAAAAATCTTTGCCTCCGGCCTCTCTCGCTACTTAGGGCTTGTTTGGAGTTTGTAATGTGGTGTGGTGTAGTGCTTTAGCCTAAAATAGAATAAGTATTTTGTAGTGTGGTGTTTTGAAACGAGAACAAAACATGTTTGGCGCGTTACAATTACTTTGAGAATTTTGGAACAAAAATATGGTAGAACATGTTTGGCAATGTGTTTCGTTCTAAGAATTATGAGAACAAAACATGTTTGGCAAAGTTAAAGTGTAACCAAAATCAATAAAAAAAATATTATTAAAAATTAAATATATAATAAAAATTAATTATTGCATTATTTTAATATACAATTAATATAACATTATATATATATATATATATATATATATATATATATATATATATATTGTTAAAAATTCTTCTTAATTTATTATAAAAACCAATAAAATATATTCTAAATTTTAAAACTTATTAATGTTGCATATTATTTTGACAGCATTATTTCAATATCGAGCTGAAATAAACTTTCAATATATTACACATTACATGAAATTATATATATTACAGACATTAGTTTCATAAATATTACATCATTTGTCAACATGCACAATTAAAGTGAGTACAAAATAAAATTAAACTAATATATTACATCATTTATCAACAACCACAATAATCAACAACAACAACATGAGAAATAACATAAAAAATATAGTTATAGTAAGACAACAACAACAACCATAGATAATGTAATTTTGCCGATTTTGTTGAGCTTGCATAACAGCAACTACATCCTCCAACTCTTCCTCCACATGACCACCCACTTGTAGATGTTGGTGCATGTCATCCACCCATATAAATGCACGAGCATGTGACTAAATCAGAACAAAGACTTGTATATTATTAGAGTGCACTTGTGACACACACATGTAGTTAAAAAAAAAATTATTAATTAAAAAAAAAATGTATACCTCCCAAGCTGGACATCTATAGAATGAACGTCCATAATTTTTTGAAGTTGCAGCCGTATAAAGATTCATTCGACCCCTTCCACATGCACACGGTGGCCCGTCATCCTGTATCTTATACATGACTACATATACAAGTTATTAAACTGATCCAAAAAAGTTAAAACAAAAAATTAAAATAAAATAAAAAAGATAATCATATAGTTACCACAACTTTTACATTTATCGAAATCGTAAATTAATGTTAAAATAAATATTTTATTACAGATATCCAAATCCATACAAATAGTTAAAATAAAGTAGTTATTACAGTTATCCAAATACTAACAAATGGAATAAGTATAAAGTAGTTCTTAGAGTTATCCAAACATGATAAACATGTAAATCCTTGTTCAATGGTGCTGACTTGCATTCCATATAGTGTCGGCAATATTATCGCGTAGAATATCCATTGGTCGCGAGCGAGACTGCGATGCATTAGGCGGAACATCAACTTCATCATCTCCAAAAATTTCATCTATCATCGCCTCCACAGTTACATCATTAAATATTGGATCTACATGCGCCTCCTTTCTTATAAAGTTATGAAGTATGCAGCAGGCTAACACAATAGCAACTTGAGCTTCAAACTTATATAGGGGCATTTGCTTTAAGATGGGGAATCTCATCTTAAGCAACCCAAAACAACGCTCAATTATATTTCGTAATGACGAGTGCCTATGATTATATATTTCCTCTCTACCTTGGGGTTGGCGAGAAGCTCTACGGTACTCTTGGAAGTGGTACCGTTGGCCCCTGTAGGGGGCCAAGAAACCCGGTTGATTAGCATACCCGGAGTCCACCAAATAATATTTCCCTGCCATTTTACAAACTATAAGCCACATTTTTTTACCATGATATTTTAAATAAGTATTGCAAAATTATAACATGTATGACATTTACCGTCTGAAGGCATTGGAAAATGCAAATCCTCATTATTAATGGTCTCGTTCAATATCTTAGAATCATTAGCAAACCCCTCCTATCCTGCTACGACGTACGTGAACATCATATTAAAATCACAAACAGGCATTACATTTTGTGTGGTATCTCCCTTCCTACCACGAAATGGTATTTGCTGGTCCACAGGCACGTTTGCATGGACATGAGTTCCATCAATTGCCCCTACGCAATGCCTAAAAAAAGGGTGGTACTTTTTGTTCTTCTTTATATGGTTAGGAACTTCGCTAAAATCTGGGGCGACAATAATCTGTTTCCCTAAATCATAGACTTTTTGTAAAACTGCATGGAAGTATTTTGAAATTGTATAGGTGGAGTGTTGAAATCTTTCTGCAACCACACGATTTCTTTCATTATGACCTAAAGTAAGCAAGAATATGCCAACTTATTCATAAACACTTACACCTGTAGAGTCTTTCAACCCTAATGACTTAAGCTCCCCACATAACTTCAAAAAAACAGGGGTGGACATCTTGAAATTTTCAAAACATCTATTTTCATGCCCCTGCAAGATCTCCATTATATATGCTTCCCCAGTTAAAAGAGAATCCCTACAAGGTTGTTTATCGTAATGTTTCCTATAATACTCCAACATGCATGCCATTACGATGACACAATCATTCTCCTCATCACCATCGTCATACAAATCAATTATTGTCCTAATATCCATCTGTATAAGTCAAAATTTAATAAACGAGATTAATTACAATCATCCCAAGCGAAATTACAAATAATAAATAAAAGCAAGACAACAAATAAAGTCAAATCAGTTCATTAAATAGTTATATTGTCATGAGCTTCAAACTAAATAACATAAATACGAGTGTACTTAATATTACAATCAATTAAAGTCATAACAACACCAAATAAGAAATAAAAGCAACACATCAACTAAAGTATACTTAATAGTACAGTCATCCAAAATCATAATAAAAGCAACATACCAAATTAAAGTCCATTGATCCAACTAACCATCTTATCATCAGGACAGTCATTAAGAAATAAATCCCTCCAAATTTCATCATTACGTAACATCTGGGTGATCTTACCATATTGTTTCATATTAACACCCTCCAAGTTATTCAAAATATAACAACATAACTTAAGATCACTTTTTGTCTTGTCGGGAGAATTCACTTCAACCTCCACATTTCCTTCATTAACTGTAATCATATTAGATGATGAAGAAGCGACTATGGCTCTTTCAATTCGATCTGCTTTCTCTCTATCTCTCTCTTTCATATAGTGCATGAGCTCGCTCATTGTGGAGGCAAAACTCTCTCTTTTTGGTTTCTTACCACGAGGTTCAGGAGAAGGACTGAACTCATGACCGCCTAACTCAGCAAAATCATCATTAAGGTCAAATGAGGTATGTATGTCTGCATGGTGTGCGGGGGCTTGGTTCATAATGGGTGGACTATACGAAGTATGGACATGTGCACCTGTAGCGTGTGTGCCTCCAAATATGGTGGTGAGCTTGTCAAAATGATTGCATGGCTTCTTTCGATACTTACTTTATTGGGCATTCACCTACAAATTATTAAATTACTATTAATATTAAGATAAGTATACTTTTTTGTAAAATCAATAGACATTTATTTTAATAACTAACCTTAATCAATCTACTCCATCTTTCTTTTTCAACTATAACCATGCCTGTCTCAGCATTGAATCCCACGCCTGTTTCTCCTAACAGACTCACAAACGCTTTGTAGTCTGTTCTCAAGTGGTTGAATTTACTCTTAAGTTGTTTCAGTACAAGATTGTTGCCTATACGGACCATCATGCCTTTTAGTATATTCTTCCAACCAATTGCACTAAAAGTTGTGTTACTCCGATTACTAGCCTTCACTTCTTCCTCCATACAAATGATGAAAGCTTCAACCTGAGAATCATCCCATACTAGTTTTCCATCATCGATATTGTCTGTAAGGTCCTCTATTTCTTCTCCCACGACATTGTCAGCATTGATATCCATTTTAATTACATAGTTTTAATAAAAATGTGTTAAAAGGGTCATACATACTCTAAAACTCTCCATCTTCCCCATTACCAAAATCTTAAATCGCAATACATAAGAGATATATAGATAATAGTGTATTTGTTTTGTTAAAATAAGTAATTAGGGAAGTTTTTCATATTAAAATGATTTGATATATTCAAACTGTATAGTTTTAGGAATTTTAACTTTATAAATTTAGATTTATGGAACATGGAAACAAGTTTGTGATTATTTTCTTTTGCTCTCACCCTTCAAATTTAAGAGAGTTTATAATTTCCTGTTTGTGTGATTATTACACTTTTTAATTTTTTTTTTTTTTTTTTTAACTCTGTCTTTTTGGCTTTCTCTTTTCATATATATCTATATAATTATTAATAGATAACTTGGTAATTAGAAAAGGCACATTTTTCCAAAAAAAAATTAGAAACCAAAAGATAGACAGAGTATAGACAAATGCTTAATAATCACTCCATATTTTTAAAAATAGGAAAACTGATGAAAGAAAATAATAATACCAATTTAATAATTTTCAAAATAAATTTAATAATGAAGTATATGTTTTATTAATAATTGAGACAATTTAGAACGGGGTGGGGTTTTGTCTCTCCTTCCCAAACTTGTGTTACAAATATTACGAGAAATTTTTTTTTATAGCAATTTCTTTTTATAGCAATTTTTGGTGATTATCAAAAAATTTCCTTTCATTCAAGCGCAACTGAATCATATCATCACAAAACCATCTAACATACATATATAGAGATATAATCACCTCATAGATGTATAAATTATATACAGAGATGTATTTTTCATGTTCTTAAACGACTATTTTGACATTTA